GCTGCGATTGGAAAGTACCGACAATGCCACCGAGAGAAGTGAGGTTTAAAGTTTTGGCAAGCGGCGATGGCCGGATCATGTTCTGCAGGGTCATGTTCACAGAATTGCCTTGAGGCAGCGGCGTTACTGCGGCGTTGGAAGGGGTTCCGGAGAAATTGACGCGGGATGGCGTGCACTGACGCGGCGTGACGCGGCTGTGAGCCCAAATCCCTTAAAAATTCACCTCACATTCAGCGACTGAAAAGAGAGGGATATAAAGGCGCCTGGAGCACGCGGTGTGCAGCCTCCTCACCTAATGCAGAATTTTCACCGCTACGCAGAGGAACCCCGTTCGGCTCGGGGCAGACGCATGGTGCCTAAGTACATTTTTTTGCTTTGCTGAACTCCAATCTCTGCCCAAGAATGAGGAAGTGCGTATACATTCGAAATCGAGCCAGAAATCAGGCCATTAAGCATCTGCAATTCGGTGAACGTATACGAATCGTCCTGGCCTATTTGCGAGCTCGCATTCGGATCTCGGCTGTGAGCTGGACCTGAAAGGAGCGGTATCGGTAGTGAGAAGAGACTCAGGGAAAAAAGGGTGAAACAGCGCCTGTAGCACGCGGTGTGCAGCTCCACATATTATGCAGCGAGTCTTGTGATTACGCAGCACGACCCCGTTCGACCCGGGGCAGGCGCATCCATGGTCAGAACCACTGCCTTTTTTTTCTTTTCTTTTCTGGTCGGTGAAATGTATCGCTATTGCGGTCTTGACTAATAATCAGCGCATAAAAATTAACAGCAGAAGAAAGTCCTAGATCAGTTATCTGCTGGAACACGCCGAGCGATCGAAGTGATATGTTGCGGGGGCCAGGTCGTATAAAAATCAGCCCGCATTTAGCTGAGAATAAAAGGGCAGTAATAAAGGCTCACGGACGCTGCAGCCGCGCACCACATAGAAAGAATTGTACGGATACGCAGACGGACCCCGTTCGATTCGGGCCAGCAGCATACAAGTGAAAGATTGACCTTTTTGCACTTGTCCATTTGTTCTGGGCCGGCTAAATCTGCTCAAAAAAAATCAGGAGGCGTGTCTAGAATCAGAATTAGGGAGGAGCACTTGTCTGTAATCCGATTAAATTGTCGGGAAGCGCGCACTTGTGCCCGGGTCCTCAGATGGAAACTGGCCAAATAATTAGCGTAATTGCACAGGAAAAGGCAAGAGCAAAGAGGTCTCGAAGAGCGCCTGTGGCACGCGGCGTGCAGCTGTTCACCATATCCAAGAGGTGTTACGCCTACACAGCATGACCCCGTTCGACTCGGGGCAGGCGCATGATCAGAGCCCCGCCGATTTTTTTTCCCGCATTATCACCCATCTCTTAATGTGCTGTTTTGCAAAAATAATCGGGAGAAAAGAAGAGGCAGAGAACTGCGCGGTGTGCATCTCTGCAAACTTTGATAGTGTATCAACCACCAGAATATGCAGTGGGACCCTGGGGCATGCGTGTGGGGGTCCACGTATCTCACTTTTTCTTTTTTTTTTTGCATTATTGAACTGTCTCCTCTGATAAATTTTGTCCCAATAATCGATATCGAAAGAGCAGGAGAGATGACTTGTCTGGAATGCGATAACCAGGTTGTTCATTCGCGTGCAAATCTCTCCTGCCAAACTAGATAATCAGCGTAAATGCGCAGTTGCTGATGGAGCAAGAAGAATTGCAAAGCACCTGCAGCACAAGGCGTGCCTCTGCATTCAGTAATAAGGTATCAATATACTTTGCAAACAGACCGTGTTCGACTCGCGGCAGGTGCATGGGTTGAGAACGTCTCCCTTCTTTTTATTGGTGAGTGGGATCTGCAGTTGCGGTGCAATGCATCAATGCCGAGTTGGTGTCCCTCGTCGCTTGGCGCAGCGTGAGAAGTGGCATCAAGAGAGGCGGTGAATGCGAATACTAACATATAGAGTGGTACAAATACTTGGCCGGAAAGTTCGGTATATATTCGAGACCAAAACAGACAGAGTATCGCGCCTGTAGCACGCGGAGTGCATCTGTAAACCTTGAACGCACGCGTCGCCGGTATAGAAGGACCCCGTTCGAGTCGGGGCAGGGGCATTTTGGGGTTGATGCCTTATTTTTCGTGTGTTTGAGTGTTTTGTGAAATTTAATGTTCCCATGAAATACAGAAACGACTCCGAGCTTCGAGCGAGAGCAAAACGGAGAATTTGCGGTCCGTGAGGATAATCCTACGGGCCAGACGCAAAAGCGAGAGGGCGCCGAGCACAAACCACAACTGGTGGTTAAAGCAGCGTGGGTTTAGTCACATCTCGAAATCAAGCTCTCCGTGAGTGAAAGCGAGATGATAGTCAATGAGGAAGCGTGGCTACGTGGGAATTGAGCGCGTCATCGGCGGCTTTATCACGTGCATGTTGATTTTCTCCATGGGTCCTCCGCGACGTCATGATGCTCGCTCTGGACCGTTGGAGTCTGCCTAGCGCCCGTTGCATTATAAGTATCGCGTTGCCATGAGATTCCTCTTATCTTTCTCCTGCTTCTCTCCCCGGTCAATTCCCGCCACGTTCACTCTCCCGTTTCCTTGAACTTTCCTAAGCATGTCCTCCACGAACCCGACCGCGCGCCCGCCCAAAGCCCCAGAACTGACCTCCATGCCGTCGACGCCAGGCCCCCAGCCCCCCGGCGGCTACCCGCGCAACAGCGTCGTTTTTGCGACTAATCAATGGGATCACTCGGCGGAGACGGGGAAGCCGGGTTTGCTAGCAGCGACGAAGGCGCATCTGCCCCAAGCAGTGGCGGCGTTCTTGCGTACGTTCTTTTTGCCCTCTCGCTGTTTACTTCTAATCTTTTTTTCTCAGCCCCGTCCACGGACCTTCGCTCCCCTCTCCACCGCTCGAGCTCCGCAGGCCACACCCCGGGCATCGCGCTGTATACCCCCAGCAGCGGAAGCGGCAACGGCGTCGCGAGCGACTCCGATTCGTCCACACCCATGCCGACGCCCGGAGAGTTCCCCACACCTGGCGGGCGTACGTTCGGCGCACGCGCGAGTTCGAATTTGAACCACAGCACCTCCGCCGACGCCGAACGCGATTATTTCGGTGCGGCTACTGTCGCTGGTGCGACTGCGCTAGAGGAAGAGGAGCTCGACGATACCGCTGAACCACTGCCTATCCTCGTGCACCCCGACCCTGCTCCAGCCTCCGACCTCGCCCCCGCTCCTCCCGCTGCTTCCCTGCTCGCCGCCGCGTCGCCCTCATCCTCAACCTCCAACTCGAACTCCAGCTCCTCGGGCTCAGGCTTGAGCAACGCCAGCACCCCCAGCACCGCATCCACCACGCCCTCCTCCCTCCCCTCCATATCCTCCCCGAAATCCCTCAAATACGCGCCCTCCACCTCGCCCTCGCGCCCGAGCGTCACCAAGGCGGGGAGCGCGGCCGGGTTTGGCGCGACAGTGAGGAGGTTCGCGAGCGTACGCAGTCGGGCGCGGCGCGCTGAAGAGGCGCAGGCGCAGGGGCCGGGTGACGGGCAGAAGGAGGAGGGCGTGGAGCACGCGCGAGGTGTGAGCTTGGATGCGTCCGCTTCGCCTGCGGTCGAATCGAAGCCGGGTGCGACGTCGGGTTCCAGTCCCACTCCCCCTTCCTCGACTTCGAGTCCTCCCACCGCCACCGCCACCGCCAAACCCTCGCGCCGCGCCTCGATCATGCGTACGCTCCGCGGGGAGGCTGCTCTACTCGCAGGGCGCGTGCGCGGCATACGGGGTGGGCGCGCGTCGGCGTCGTCTTAGATTTCGCGCACATCGACCGCCTCCAATTGCGCCAACTCACAAAACCGAACACCTCAACCCAAAACCGAACATCTCAAATGGACTCACCCGCTCCTTAGTGTTGTTTGTATCTTTATTTATCCTATCTCTATCATTATTGGACACCACCCGCACGTACAGTAGAACTCGGACGCGGACTCGATGGACTTGTACACTACAACCTACTTACAGCTAGTAAACTTATTTACTTACCTTGCGACACTCGTTTATCGTAGAAGAGGACACAGTACGGAACAGAAGAAGAAGAAGAAAATGTACCATGTAGAGTAGATTGGTAGAAGATTACAGCCGTTGTCAGTACCCAAGGCGCGAATCAGAAAATTGCCGTTTTGGGCATTTTGTGATTCTCACCACCGATTCGCTCATATCTCGATGAACTCTGCACGGATTGAGATGGGACATAGCTAGATAATTCGGGGTAACTCATGCGCAATTAGTGATAGACAAAAATTTGCTAAATTATTTTATAGTTGGTGAGATGGGTCCGGAGGTGATTTTCGGGGTCAATTCAGTCTACCAGCAGCTAAGCATGTTCAAATGACCTAGATTTTGATAATGGAAGACTTTTATGCATTCTTAAAGCTGTGATAGAGTCAGATTTGTCAAGAGTTTTGGGATGGACTCAAATACTACAATATGATCTTATTGGAGTGTCTTGCCATTGTCCTGATGTCATTGCAACCACGATAAACTAGGATATTGAATATTCTGACTCTATCACAACTTTTCGATTGTATGACAGTCTTCACTCACGAAAAATTTAGGGCATTTCAAGATGCCTAGATGCTGGTAAATTGAATTGACCCTGAAAATTACCTCCAGACCCATCTCATCAACTATAAAATATTATAGCAATTTTCTTTCTATCACTAATTGCGCATGAATTACCCCGAATTATCTAGCTATGTCCCATCTCAATCCGTGTAGAGCTCATCGAGATATGGGCGATCCGGTGGTGGGAATCAGAAAATGCCCCAAACGGCAATTTTCTGATTCGCGCCTTCGGTACTGACAACGGCTGTAATTCGCTTGCTTGTTTGCGCTCACATTGCAGGTCGCGGGTAATTTTTTTTTTTTCGGTTACTGGGATATGGATACCTGCCTGGGCCCTTCGGCTGAGGAGTTCAAGTTGATACAGAATTCGAGGGCCTGCCCCAAAACAAAACCAAATTATAATGAGCGAATGCCGCCGGCGGGAGTCGAACCCACGTTACCCTCTCAGATTATTCATCTTGCCACTTACACGCGAAGAGAGACGACCACCCTGGTCGACGGCGGCTTGAATATATGTATTTTTTCAGAGCGGTGTCGCTAAAATATCCAGTGGCGGATGAAAAGTAATATATATATAGCGAGAATGGCGCGATATGCCGTCGGGAGGAGTTGAACCCCCCGAAGCTTTCGATTGGGTGGGCATACAGATACTGGTCGACGTCGGCTTTGGATATGTTACTCCAGAGGTTGAAAACAGCAAGTGACTTTTTCTGGAGACGTCGTCAGGAAGCATCCCATTGATCCGATTCATGTAAGGGGCGCGCGCGAACACGCTGAAGGACGTACATGAGTGCGTAGGTCTGAGAAGTGAGACAACATTATGTCCAGACACTCGAGCAGGGTGAACACTCCGGGCAAGTTTGGTCCATACAACCATGAAACTGCTCAATGTTGATGTCACAATTTTATTTGAACTGATTCAGCCCAAATGAGCCGAGATGACCAGGTCCATTTCTTTTTGCCGCCACTGTATCTCCTCGTCTAAGTATGGGCGTCTATTTGGGCGCTTAATCACAGGTGGGCGACATCGTCATGCAAGGATTCCTGAGGAACGATAAGTACTCTGGGCATCTGAGTGGCTCAAGCATGCTGTCTCGCTCCCTGTATCTTTGTGAGTGAGATAGAACGCCGTTTGGTTTTCCTTGATCATCGAATGGGCGAGATGCATCATGCTCGCCCCAGTAATATTGCGCAGCGTTCTGTCGGCACTGGGTCGGCGCTCATCGCTCTTTGAGAGCTTCAATTAGCATGGTCTTAACTTGCGGACATCCATACACTGTTATTTTCTTTCATTTATCATTCACTACCCCGCCGCCATGCCTTGTCCTCCTCTGCATCAGTTTGTGATGGGGAGACAACTTACCATCCAGTGTTTAGCTCGTTGGTTTGGGATACTCAGATGTATTCTGGCAACACATTCAAGCTATCTATCTATCCACAGGTCAAGTCCAATGAAGATCACTATGTAGATAAATCCTTGATCCGGTAGGTCATCGTCAATGTCAAAACAAAAATGCAAACAAAAGTTCAAAGCCATTGAACACGCTGTAAATAACCTTCTGTTGAAGAGTATTGGGGAGATCGCTACAGCTCTGTGATTGAGTGAGGTTTTTGTTCTTCTCCTTCTGCATCTGACTCCTGGAGTGGAATCGGAGGCACTGGCAATTCTGCTTTGGGCAGAGCCTTGATTTTCTGTGCTATGCCGAGCATCTGGAGCCTGTCATCAATCTTGGCGATTTCATTCTTCTGTTCTGAGCGCTCGAACAACGGTCGTGCGGCCTCCCACATTTCTCCGGCTCTGCTAAAATCTTCACACCTCATGTATACATCACCAATTGTGCGCATGCATTCGGCTCTGCTCTGATGCACATCCATCTGGGTGAATCCATCTAGTGCGACTGCCAGAATGCTCAGCGCTGTATTTTCCGCGCCTTGTCCCACAAGCGTATCACCAAGACACCGCAACGCCTGGCATAGTATCAGTGCACTCCGACATTGCGGCCGAAAGGCGAATGCGAGGAAAACAAAGGCCCATCGAGCGGATTCCGCGTCTGCATGCACAGGTTTTGTCCGGTCCCCCAACTTCGCAAGGCAAAGGCACATCAGTTCGTCATCGCTGTCGCGTGTGGCAAGTTCAAAGAGTCGCCTATATTCAAATCCGGCCCCCATAGCATTGCCCTCGCGAAGCAGCAGGTCCGCATGGCAGTGCTCACACACGGAGACACCGCGTGGGTAATTTCCATTCCGGAAGGCGGTCATTGCACCATCAAGTTTGTGGAACACAACATCTGCGCTGGTGCCAGTTACAGTGTCTATAATTGCGATGTTGACAAGGGCATGTGCATGCTTAATGGGGGAGAGCTCGGCGGATGTTTTGTGCAGGATTGCCTCTTGGATACACCGCGCGTTGGAATACTCAGTCTTGAGCTGGTAAACATCTGCCTCAATGTTCATAAGCATACTTTCCACCTGTCCGCCTTGCAGACCTGCTTGAACAACCAGCTCCTTGCCTTCTTCCAAGCACTTCATGCATTGTTTGAAGTCTCCCATTGATGAATAACACAGTGCCTGGAATCGGATTCCATTTAACTCACCCCTGATGTTCCCTGATGCACGGCCAATTCTGTATGCCTCCTGGGCTAGCTGCAGAGCTCTGAGGTAATTCCCGCGATTCCATTCAGTGAGGGCAAGGCCACCCAGTGGTCTGATTTGGATGATCTCATTATTGCATTGTGTTGCCACAGAAAGCGCACGCCGATAGAAGTTCTCTGTCTTTTTGAGATCACGGGCACAATCTTGATAATATGCGCCTATCTCAGATAAGAGTCGAACTGGAGCCGTATCATTTCCAAATTTTGTCAATCGGCAGAGTGTATGCACTCACCTTCCGCATCACGGTCTTGGATTACACGAAAATGTTCTGTGGCTTCTTCTATGGCCAGTTCTGGACTGGGGAGCATATAGAACTCCCTAGCCTCAAATGCACCCATGATAAACTTCCCTTGAAGTTCATGGTCATCCACCCCAGACAATATTTCGGGCAGACGGAGCATAAGTGGGCTGAGTCCTCGACTCATCCTCAAATTGAGGTGGTTGAGCATAATTATGCCCAGGATGGACTCCCTAAGGTCACTATGATCCGATTCCAATCCCTGCAGCAGTACACCGTGCAGATTTCCAAGATTTGAGACAAGGCGTGGAACCAAGTCAACCACAGAAGCCGAAGCTTCCCACCAGGCCATGTAGAGTTTGAGAAGATCAATGAAATATTTTCGCAAGGGTTGCACCAGTTCCTGGGACGGTGGTCTGGCCAGGTGAATACAGTCCCGAATTGGTGCCAACACTCTGAATCGTCCAGCATGGTCAATGTATGCAAGTGAAGTGCGGATAAGTGTTGTTTTGCAATTGGGAATATCCTGTATTGGGATATTGCTTTGAACCAGGTCAAGGTCAGAAATGCCATCAGAGAGGAGTGTCATCAGACTGAGTAGCTCTGCTGCATGAGGTGAAGCAAGCATGCGCGGACTTGAAAGAGAAAGTGTGATGGAAATATCCAGGTTTGATCGTTTATCATAACCAGCAGAGAGAAGAGCAGTCCTCTCAAGCTTCCAGCGCTCCATGGTGTCCTGGCAACCAACAGAGGCTGCAATTCCAGCAACTAGCTGAACTGCAAGAGGTATGTTGTCTGTAATGTCCAAGAGCTGGTCGACTTCCGAGCCATCATGAATTTCATCTGCAATTTCGATAAACGTTTGGCGGGCAGCAGTTCGATCCAAAGGCACTAAGGGACGTAGGAATGGATGGGTCCACTGGACTTTTCCAGGCCTCTCAGCTCCGCGCATCGTGAGCTAAGAAGGCATAAGTCAGCAAATGTACCTTGGGTATGAGGGGGACACACCAGAAGTGCTACATGTGGGATATCAGCTAGGAGTGCAAGGAATGCCTCCACTTTTACCCGACCTTCCTGTGCTTCCCATGGAGTCTCAAAATTGTCCAAAATCATGAGGCACGGCTGTCCAGCAGATAAAAGGGCAAGCACAGCTCTCTCCGATGTGCTCGAGGTATCAAGGCCAAGATGGGAAACTATTATTGCGACCAGGAAATCCCTTGTGTGAGCAGACTCGCAGGAGATGAAGTGACGAGTTTGGTATTTATTGGCAACTTTGGGATGATGAAGAGCGGCCATTGCTAATGTTGTCTTTCCCATTCCGCCGGGTCCCAATATCACAACTCGGGCAGGATCAGCCATCAGGATGTCAATGAGCTCCTCAAGCTCGGCCTCCCGCCCGTGAAAAATTTTCGGGGAGGCAGGTAGCAAGGAGAATGATCTGGAACTGTTACACCAATAAATAGTGAGTGAAATATTCTCTGTTGTTACAGATGAATGTTCACCTGACATTTGAGGAACTTTGTCCAATCTGAGAGTCAGGTCAGAGAACATAAAATTCCAGTCATGGAACCTGCTCACGAAAGACGCAGTTTCAAATGAGTTACTCTGTGATGAAATCATTTCAAGAAGCTCTTGATGGCGCATCTCTGTGTCGATGTTCAGCTCGACAACAGTGGTAGCAAATTGGACTGTGTGTTTTGCCTGTCAAAGCCTACATTAAATTTTGCTCCTTGAATGGACATTGAGGACCAACAGTAAAAATTGCCAATGATGCCCGTAATTCTGCCTCACAAGTATTCAATTGGGCAGCAATTTCGCCTTGCTTGAAAAGGCGTCTAATTTTTCCACGCTCTCGCTGAGATCTCAAACAAGAATCTAATTTTTGGAGAGTGCTGCGACCGGACAATCAACGAACTGCCAAACTTAGCAATCCACATGACTCGCCTGGCATATTGCGCAATGTGGTTCAACATGGTTATGGACTGAATGTCTTCAGAGTAGATTGATAGGCTGGTGAGTGCACAGAGCGAATGGTGAATCTCTTCCACAATGCGCAGGCATTGCTCCCGTTGGAATCTGACATTCTGCATTTCCAATTAAATAACCGGACATGAAAATGTCAGAATTGCATACTTGCACCATGGGGACGATCATCAAAGTAAGTGTGCAAACCTTGCTCAGGAGAGGTATCTGAGATGCAGTCACGACATCCTGCAGAGCATTCGCTGCTACTGCAGTGTAGTCGAGAATCCTGTCAGCTGTAGCAGAGGAGTTTGAGGGCATCAGCAAGGGCGGGAAAGTTTCTGGGGAGACACAATCTTTGTCCAGTTATATATCTGGCCACGATATTTTCGATACAGTGCAGATCTCGAGTGTGATCCTTCCTGCCACCCTTGCGTGAGAAGGTCAACATCAAACCAAACTGTCGGGAAACCATACGAGCTAATTATGCCCGCGACTCGCACACCTAAAGAGGGAACAAATACCCCATGTGTGTCCTAATAAGTCGGTTCAGCCCGCCCACAATGCAGGAGGCCAGATCCCTTTTTGAAGTTGGTCGTGGCCACCGCTCAAATTCAGCACCGCCAGTTTTGAAAATGGGGAGGAACGGCGAA